TTTTGTAGGAAGAAATAATACTTGAGTACCTTTGAGAACTGATTTGGAAATGTCTATTAAAAGTATTCTTTAACTCTCATTTTGACATGTGGAGAGTTTACTTATTTATGCATATAGGTGGTTATACAAATAAAATACATCCTGAGAAGTTTCTCTTTGGATCTTTTTGAGCTTTTTGATTTATTTGAAATCAAATATTGGTTTTTTTAAGGTGTGGATTAATCATAACTCCATTTGCATAGATTGTTAAGTTCTGGGGAAAACAAAATCTATTTTATTATGCATTTATTTTCCCTTACAGCATCTTCGATATGATTTTCTTAAAGGATTAAGTTCTAGTCTTTAGCTATATATGCTATCCTCTGGATAACGTAATTAAAAAATAGATTTTAAAAATGATCTTTTTTGACCTAAGCATCTTGCTAAACCTCTGTTTAGAGATGGCTCCTTCAGTTTTTGAAAACGAAGAGTCTTTGTTTTTCTTTGCCATGTAAAAATTCTTATTAGCATAAGCTATATATATTTCGTTTATCCAGTCAAGTAACACATTCACAGCTTACCCTTCTCCTGTATTCTGTATGTTTTTCTTTACTTGTACTTATTCTAATAATTTAATCCCATATCAGAATATTTATTCAATTCATCAAAAAAAAAAAGATTTATTGAATGCCTACTGTACACAAGCTACTTTTCCAGGTACTAAGTATATAGTAGAGACTAGATGAAAATTTCAAAAACTCCTTCCTTATGGAGCTTAGGTCTAGTAAACAAATAATTGTAGGTTAGAGAGTGTTAAGCATGAAGAAGATGAAGAAACAAGGAAGATGGTATGTGAAACATGGGGGTTATTAAAACTTTGGATGGGTTGACCGAGGGAGACTTCACTGTAAAATAAATTTTTGAAAAAAATTTGAAGTAAGGAAAGAACCATTCCACCATCAGGAGAAGAGAACAGCCAGGAGAGCAGTAAGACAGTGTGGGCAGGAATGTTGGGTCACAGAGTTATACAGGGAAAGAAGTTGGAGAGATAACAGAGAGCAAGATAAGGCAACAAATGTTCATTTGGATTATGTAATTATCTTTGTTCTGTAGTTTTCCTGAGAATTACATTTCTGTTCTTTCTAGAATTCTCTATAGAGAATTCTTGCTCTTTACTATAAATTTAATAAGCAATTTTAAAAATCTGCCATTGTTACCATTTTTGAGTGATAATAAATATGAATTAATTAGTCAAAGATTTGTGCTTGTGGGAAAACGCATGATCTCATTTTTCTACTTGCCATTTAATTCCATGATTTTTAAAAAATGTAATATCGTTGCTTCTTGGGCTGTAGACCTTTATCACTATTCTGATAAATGTGATTACATTTCAGTTGCCTAGTGCTGCTTTATGTAATATTCTCCTTGTCATTTTGTAGTCTTCCTTACAAAATTGTAAATTTCCACCATTGAAGCACCATTTTAGATTAAGCTTTCATTGGCATCTTTTAAAAAATTAACCCAATTAAAAAAAAAAAAAACATCTAAACTCAAGAGTTATTACTTTCCTAGGTTTTCTTCCAGACTTTTATTTTCTCTGGCTCTCCATTTAAAGTAAATTATTTGCTTTTTATAAAATGGCCAGGAATCTACACAAATAAATTAATCCTAATTGTGGGATGTAGAGGATATTTAACTCAAATGGACTCAAAGGAATTGAAGAATTAGTATTCATAGTATGTTAGAATAGACATTTGAAGTTAAAAGATTTTACTGGTTGGCTTCCCCAGCTGAATAGTTGCATAGCTCTTTCTGAACTTCAGTTTCCTTGTCTGTAAATGGGAATCAACTTGCCTACTTCAGAAGCTCACTAACAGATTGTTTTGAGAATATAATTGAATAATATATGTGAACACTCTCAAGAAAGTGACTTAGGGCAATTCAGTGTAAGTATTGTTCTGTATTCTATTAGGCCACCTATGCTTAGCTTTTAAAATTTTGTTAAATTTTAATATTCATTGCCTTTTTTATGTCTGGATAATTTCCAAAGTTTGATTTTTTTTTTTTTTTAACTGAAGATACCTGCAGTAGATCTTTTGTGAAACAGCTTCTACAATGTAAATAAACAAGTCTTGGCTGTCACTCCACAGTGCCATGGTGATTTTATCTCAGTTGCAGTGACCTCTGGCATGTACCTCAATAAGAATTTATTTGCCATCACTTGGAAGACAGTTGTTAGCAATTGGTAACAGGCTTGGTTGGAGCTTTTTAGTTTCATTAAACCTTTAGTAGCGAGCACCCAGAAGCAGTAGTGCAGTACTACCTCACCAACATTTTTTGGCCTATCTAGGAAATAAAAACTTCATTTAGAGAACCTTTAGTCAAAAGCCTAATTAAGGGGAAATAATTATACCAGCACATTGGCTCAGAACCTTGGGGCACCATGAAGCTTTGAGGAGGGGCTTCCAGAAGTACATATTGCTGCTGGGTATGGCGTATCCAAGGCACCCTTAACAACTTTTGTCTTAAGTTTTTAAAATGTGCAAGAATCAGAATAGAGCTGTGGTTCCCAAGCTTTCTTACACATTAGTTATTTGGGGCTTAAAAAAATCTTATGCCTTCTCCTTCCAAAGTGCAAAATAAAAATAAAAATCTTACGCCCAGGTCATATCTCACAGTAGCTATAAGTTAGAATGTTTGGGGATTGAAACCAGGCATCAGTAATTTTTAAAGATGCACAAGTGATACAAATGTGCAGCTAGGTTAGGGAAGCATAGGAATATGTGGCTCTAGCCTTCATTCTTTTACTACCTGTTACTGTTTCTCAGCCTTTAGCATCATTAATGGGAGTTTGACAATCCTGTCGCTAAAATATTTGAAAATAGTAGGTGATGTCCCATAAGCAGGTTTGTGGTCTACATTTTTTAAAAAGTATATGCTGTTTTACATAGTCTTATGTTGCTTTGAACTTTGTTTCACTACTGTTACCTTCTAGGTATATTTATGTTACTTTTTCCCATTTACATGAATAACTCCATGATGACTTTAAATAACATTATGCCTTTGTGATTTAAGACCAGAATAAAATTTTGTCTACAGGTATTAACTAGTTAGGAGTTTTGTTCCTTTGTTTCATTTATAATGGTTGTTTTCAGATAAAGGACTGACAGCCAATTTGTTTTTCCAAATCCATTTTTATTTTTCTCCAGTCAAGTAATGAACTAAATTTTTGAAATAGGTATGAGCCTGAAGAAATCAACTGCTTAACTATATCACAGCCACATTAATATTTACTGTAAATAATATATAAGATGATGTATATGTGAGACAGAAACTATATCTGTGGCATTACTAACCATGATATGATAAATGAATAAGCATTTTCCCAAATATCATGGTTTATTAAGTCAGTCTCAATGTAGCCTAATAAAAAAAATAGAATTTTAAGAGTACAAAGAAGAACTTCTATGTGGCTTGGTTCCTAATGTTGACCAAAGCTAAAGTTTCGGCTGTAGGTCCTTGAACATTTGCCTAAGACTTGACATAAATTCAGGTGGTCTCCATATTAGCTTAAAAACACTAGAAAATTACCCAAAGAACACAAAAAGTACAATTTAAAAACAAATTTTATTTTGATTTATTAGAAAATTTCTGTCATATTCCGTGTGAAACATATGTGTGAAAAAAATGCAGAACGTAAACTGATGCTCTGTGAATTTTTTGTTTGTCATTCAAAATTAAAGAATATGACCCTATTATCTCTGATGCTGTCAGAGTATTATAAATTATGGAAATCATTAGTGCAAATATTTGGCTTAATTCATAACATTCAGTCATCTAATTTTTGTTTTGAGTCTTTTGCTTTTCTTGTTTCACATTTTTGTTTTGTTTTCATCCATCATTTTGTCTTATCATCTTCAATTCTAGAGCAACCTGACAACAATAATGATACTACTGAATTGGGCATCCTTGTCATTCCTGAGATTAGTGTCACAAATGTGGCCGGAGAGAGAACCGGGAATGGGGAAAAAGGCAGAACACTAGGAGAGATTGATGCTCAGCATATACAGGGTGTACAGGAAACAGCCACAGATCCTAGAACTGAGAGCAAAAGCTTGCCAGAGATCAGGAGGCAAAAATCTGTAAGAAAAATGATGGAGGATGGAATAAACTCACCTGGCAGAGTGCAGTTTTAGCAGAGCACTTTATAGCTGCACTCCAAGGTATCTTAAGGCAAAGGGCCACCTGATGCATGTTAAGCAACAGTTGCACAGTCTCAAAAATTTTGCATGTGATCTAATAATCCAAATGCATGAATTATGCACCACAATTTCTCAATGACTCTTAAATGCTCTTCAGAATGATTATACCTATATTATCTTTAAGTAAATTGTTATGGAAACTGAGGCAGGAAATTTCTTCCAAAATAATTTTCTGCTTATGTTTGGAGATGTAAAATTATTTTTTCAGCTTTGTCTTTTTGCCATCTTTGACATGAAGGATAATGTATATAGAATTTTACATTGAGCTTGTGATATTTATAGTCTAGATTTTTTAAATTTGATAAAATAACCTACAATATAGAATGCAACCTTCTAAAAATGTCTTTAAAGTATTCTTAATTTCAATTTTTAAAAAGTTTCTTGGTAAGAGCTTTGATTTTATACTGCTTTGCTACTGAAGGAGAGTTCACCCCTAGTTTTACTGTACGATAATATTTCTAATTGTTTCTTATCTTTTGCATGAATAGGAGAATTCTTTCTAAAAACATAATGGGGTATGGTTTCTGGCATGCTTTTTGTTTAATACAGTATAAATTACTGTCATTTAATTACAGTGAACTATTTTTACATTTTTATAATAAATGTTTTGATTTATCCTTTGATTTTGTTCTATAATCATTTGCTTTATAAAGTTATGCTAAAGCTTAATTTATTTAAAGTGTAACTGATTTGGTGTTAATCATTTTAAAAAGATTGCTTAAAATAATGTTAATTAATCTTTGTCATTTTTTTGTTTAGGAAATACAGAATTAACAGGTCAAGAAGAACTGATGGACATATCTGAAGTTGACGAGGGATTTTATTCCAGGGCTGCGTCTAGTACCAGCCAGTCGGGTTTATCAAACAGTAGTCACAATTGTAGTAATAAGACAAGTATAGGAAAAAACCAGAGACGGTCAGGAGGAAGCAAAACTGGAGGAAAAGAAAAAGAAACTACAGGGGAATCTTGCAAAGATCACTTTGCTCGAAAACAAACTCAGAGAGCCCAAAGTGAGAATCTTGAGCTTCTCTCTTTGAAGAGACTTACTTTAACAACCAGCCAATCCCTACCTAAGCCTAGTTGCCATGGCTTGGCTAAGACTGCAGCGACTGTGTTTAGTAAATCCTTTGAACAAGTCAGTGGTGTCACAGTCCCACATAACCCGTCATCTGCTGTTGGTTGTGGGACTGGGGCAGATGCCAATAGGTTTTCCGCTTGTAGTCTCCAAGAAGAAAAGCTTATTTACGTTTCAGAAAGAACTGAACTTCCAATGAAGCATCAATCAGGTCAGCAGAGACCTCCTAGTATTAGCATTACTCTGTCCACAGATTAATTAGTAACATATTTTCTCCCATAATCCAGTGAACCTGGAAATACAACTTTGCTTCTTCATGAATGTGCCCTGGGTCTTTCATCCATATTCCTGACAGAGGAGCCTGGTGTCTTAAATTCGGAAGGCTCCCTTGACTTTATGAAGGGAATGTTGTCTAGGTTGAAATACGGTTTTATTTCTTGATTACAATTTTTTCCCCTTGGCTTGAGTCTTTTTTTTTCCTTCTTGTTACTGTTGCCCTAAGATTGTCAGTGACAATAATTTTGACAGGTTTTCTGATCAAGTTGGTTATATCTCATGTGAGGTTGTAAGGTGGGTTTTTTTGTTTGTTTGTTTGTGTGTGTGTGTGTTTTTTTTAAAAAATAGCTCCTATTTTGGTGGTTGTGTGTTTGGCCTTCAGAGTCAAAGGGAGTCTCCATGTATGGGAACTTTTATAGAGGATGGGGCAGAGGCACAACTCCAGGAATTCTGCAGCTCCTGGTCAGGAAGCCAATCTGAAAAACAGGCATGTGGAAAAACGAAAACGATGTGCATGAAAAGCACCTGATGAAAATGTTTGTAACCAGATCATCTTTAAGATTAGAACAGTTTGTTCAAAGCACTGGAAAATGCCTGGTAACCCAGTTCTTAGAATATTATATGAGGTAGAGACATTTCTGTTATCTTTGAAACATTTTTATATCAAAAATCAGATTGCTGGTAGGTGTGTTGTTTTGAAGTGTTTGATCTGGATTTAGCAGGTGAAGATCCCTTTCAGTTCTTAAGGTATAATAGGCGGTAAAGCTGATTTGCCCTACCGCTCAACTTTGGAAATCCTAGTTAGTTTGGACTCCTATAATTCAGAGCATACATCATTGAAGACTTCCTGGAAATCATTGTAAATCTTGCAACACAGCTCTCAAGATACCAGTATCAACTGTATAATATGGAATTGTTTGTCTGCAAATGAAGGAAATTAGATACATCTTTCATCTATAAAATGTCATGAAAGAAAATAAAGTTTGTGAACTATGGACAAAGGACATTTATTTATTGACTAGGGTTGTTTCTGTTTGTGTTCTTAAATTTAAAATATGAAAAAAAATGAAATGTGTTTCTTGTTTGTGAACAGGCCTATCTTAAATATCTTAGTGTGATATCAAAAGAGTAATCAGTTTAGTTACCTCCCAACTAAAAAATAAAAATAAAGGCGATATGGCCGAAGTTAAAACAAACTTGTATGTATCTGTAGGTGACCTTTGATGGACATAAACATTTGGTGTTTGCTAGCGGTAGTCCTTTTGCCTATGGTTGCGGTTCCCTTGTAAAGCAAGTGTACTTAAGTCATCATTCAGAATGAGAGAGGGGAAGCAGGGCTGAGGCTGAGTCAGTTGACTGTTGAGGAAGGCCTAAGGAGCTGTCCAGTTCTTGGCTCTTTCACTGTCAGTACACAGCGATTTTCTTCTTCATAGTGCCTTGCTGTGGTCACCAATAGAGCATGCTAGTGTTTCCTCTTGTACCTGCTTATGCAGAGCTCAGATATGTGAAAAATTTGTATGTTTGGAAGGCTGCCAGAGCATTTATTTTCAACATAGTTTTGACTGCAACTGCTTTGGCTACCATTTTAAACTAAATTCTTCAAAAAGTATGAGCTAGTTTTCATTCATTAGCCCTGATTACAATGTGGTTTTCGGCATAAATGAATTTGATTTTTTTTCTTAGCTCCAGTAACAGAATGGAATAAGATCTATTGGCATAAATTGTAGTTAAGAACTATAAGGCAGTCAGGCAGTGAAACTTGGTATTAACTTAATAGGAATCCTGCATACAAATTATAATATTTGTAAAATGTCACTGTGAGTTTACTAATGTCTTTTTGTCACTTTAACAATGAATTTCCCCTGTGCATAGTTATTAATAGTATTGGTATTATTAAAAATGAATTTGTAAGATTGGCATTTTAAGCAAGTTGAGGTGCTTAGGAAACATTGCAGAATAAGTTTGAGGAAATGTTAGCTGACACAGCTGAGAGATCAGATGTTAATGTTCTACCACTGTAATGGAACCTTATTTGGGTATTCTTCTAGACCTTTGCTGGTTGTGTGGTCTGAGGACCAGTAAGTAGGATTGGCATAATCTGATGTCTTGTTAAAAATGCAGAATTTTAGTGTCACTCTAAGTCTACTAAATCAGAATTTGCATTTTTAACAAGGTCTCCAAGTGAATTTTATGAAAAGAAAGTGTTAGAGTGCAAACAAATTATTTATCTAAAATGTTGAATTCCCAGTGGTCTCACAGCCCTAGATCAAATGTGTCAGACCCTAGATCATTATAATCTTAATGGTTTTGACAGCTAATTAATAAATTTAATATTTGACATATGGCTTCTTAAGTCTTTGAATTCTAAATTGCAAATGATCCTGAATTTTACAATAAAAAATGTAACGCTTTATATTTTTCTTGTTAACCATAAATGGAATCAGAGCTGTAAATGCCTGAAATTTGAAGTATGAAAAGGGGTGCCACCCATTTATAAACAGCACAACAAATTTGCATTTGTATATTCTTTTAAAAAAATATCTGAAGGCTTACTCAGTAAAATGGTTCTGAATTTTTGCTTCAAATGATTTGCACTAACTGATTTTCTGGGGTGTGAAGTTATGTTAACAACAAAATTCTTTTATAGTTCCTTTGATACTATTTCAAATAAGGATTACTCATTGAAAGTTTTTATAGAAATTATGAAAATTGGATAATCTTAACTGTGGTAACAATTACTATTATCCATATTACTATCTCACCACTCATCTTTCAAATTTAAAAGTTGGGGTAGCTTTCGTAGGTCACTTTCTTATAAAGATGCTGATAGTCATAGATCTCCTAAGTCTCCAGAATAATATTTTTATCATGAGAAGGATTCCACACAAAATTGGGATATTGTACCTCATAGTTCAGAGGATCTGAACAGAAATTGTGGCTCCATTGCACATTTTAAGTCTCTTGAAATCGCCCAACCTCTCACTTTTGAAAACCCAATGGCCTGGGGTGTTCTGGTGGCATTGGAGCCAGCACTAGCTTTTTGGAATCCAAATGGGGAGAGAACGTAGACTTTTCAAGGGACTGCCCTAGAGTACCCAGGGCAAATGCTTCCTTTCCCTTCCTAAAGCCACAGGAAAGCACCCTAGAGTCCTTTGTATACCACTATGGAAATTTTAAAGGCAAGCTCTCTAGACTTGAAGAGTTGGAATTCTCAGCATTTAAATGATGACTTAAATTTGTTTTGAAAAAGCAGTATTTCATTGCCCTTTTCAATTGTGAAGCAACTGCTTGGCAAATATTACTCAGTTTTTTTAAAAAAGTTGAATTAAAGGGAAATATATTTACAAAACCAAAATAGATCAAAATGATCCCAATTTTAAGGGATTTTGCCTATTTTGGAAGAATAAAACTAAAATGTTAAAACTGTTGAATTATGGAGAAGAGATGTACTCTGAGACATAATTTTAAATAAATGTTTAAAATAAGGCAGGTTAGCATTTGCATCTAGGTACAATAAATCTATATTAAAGGGAAGCACATCAAGGAAATACGTATGTTGAATAATGTAACTGAAAAATATTTTTAAAAAACCACTTAAAAATAATTTGATAGGTACTTTAAGCATTGTAGATACAAATTAATGTATAATAGTGTCTTCCCAGCCTTTGTATGAAAAATTAAAACTTTCTAGTCCTTTAATGAGCATGAATTTATACTTCTAGATTTGTTGCTTAGTAAAATTATACACAGTACTTTGAGTTATTCAGATTTATGTTTAATATTATTAAATTCATCAGAGAACATAAATATATTGTCTTCTATACTTTGTAACTTGTGGATATCTAAAGAAACTAGCAATGAACATTTTGGAAGATGTTTTATGTTTTTTATAGTAGAGTTTTAGAGTACATGTGTGTTAATAGGAAGTTTTTACCATAAACTCAAGATTCTATTTCATGTATTGCTGCTTTCTCTTCTATGGAACTTACTGTGTGCCTCTTACTTTATTTCTAATCATGTAGTGATACTAATCTTTTCATAGTAAATATACTTGTTTCTAATTGTATTCCTAGAGTTTACATTCCTAAAGAATAAACTATGACTTTGGATATTTTTATGTGTTCCCTACCTTCTTAAGGCTATGGAAATAAACTGGAATTTAGTTTTTTGATTTTTTTGTATATTTGTGCAAATGTTCTCCATATGCAGTACTTTATACAAGTGTTGCCGCTTTTATTGAAATAAAAACTGAAAAAAATATTTTTTCCAGATCAGTTTACTCATTTAAAAAATTGTTATAAAAATTTGCAAAAGTTATGATATGGAGGAAGAGAGTAAAGGAGGAAGACTTAGGTGAGTTGAGCCACTGAGAGCTTTTCGGGGTAAGTGATAGGATAGTGACCTCATTCCTGGCTTTGTGCTTTATATTTCATACAGGTAAGGAGTATGACAGGTCCACTCACATTCATCCAAAGATGAAGATGATCTCTATGGGCCATGCATCAGTGGTGGATTATTTGTCCTATCAGAAGCACAGGCAAATTTAGGTAACATCACTTTGTCCTTCCAGCTTTAGAATCTTCATTGCCAGGTGTGGCGGGTAGTAGTCCCAAATACTCAGGAGGCTTGCTTGAGCCCAGGAATTTGAGACCAGCCTGGGCAACATAATGAGATCCTATCTTTAACAAAAAAAAAAAAAAAAAAGACTAAGAAGGAGAAAGAGTCTATATCTCGAGTACAGAGAGTATGTGTCCCTAGTACCTAGATAGGACTTTGTGCATGGTAGACATTTAATGAATAAATGAGTTAGGTAGATGTTAGCTTTGGAAAATAATCAAAGATGAATTCTTCAGTGTATTCTTCTATAGTACAGTTTTGGAATTTTATTTGTTGGCTTTAGGAAACCTCAGTGGCATTACATGAATTGCATGATAGTGTGCACTTAGAAACAAGAACCTATGGCTGGGCGCAGTGGCTCACAGTTGTAATCCCAGCACTTTGGGAGGCTGGGGTGGGTGGATCACTGAAGTCAGGAGTTTAAGACCAGCTTGACCAACTTGGGGAAAACTCATCTCCACTAAAAATACAAAAAATTAGCCAGGTGTCGTGGCGGGTGCTTGTAGTCCCAGCTACTCAGGAGGCTGAGGCAGGAGAATTGCTTGAATCTGTGAGGCAGAGGCTGCAGTGAGCTGAGGTGGCGCCACTGCACTCCTGCCTGGGTGACAGAGTGAGCCTCCATCTCAAATAACGACAACAAAAAAAACCTGTTAGACACTTGAAAAAATTCCTGGCTTGTAGTTGATTATATATTTGGATAATTCCATTTCATCTAAGGAACTAAGTAATTTAGGAAATGTGTTCTTAACTACTCTTAGCAGGGTACTTATAGAGAACCAGAGTAGTGATTTTGTAAGCAGTGTTTTAGCCCTATGCAATATGTACTCTTCCATAACTTCAGTAGTCTGCATAGTTGACTCACTACAATCTGACTTTGTTGATATCAAGATAATTGTTTCATTGTTATGAAGAAAGATTTTTTTTTACAATCAATTCTAATTATTTTCTTTGCATTATATTGTTGTGATAGTAGTGCTAGCTAATATGTGTAACTAAAATGATCATCTTATCTAATCCTCAAAATCATCTTATAAAGTGCATGGAATCCCCATTTTACAGAAGAGGAAACTGAAGCTCTCAATAGGGTAGAGGACTTGCCTAAGGTCACCTAAATGCTGAGTGGCAAAACCAGGCCTTGAACACGGGTCTTAGGACTTTCACTTTTATATCAATTGGTAAAAGAAGATGCTAATTAAATACTACCTAACTGACATTTATTTAAAATTCACTCACCCCGTCTGTCTTACAGGTGATAGTTTTAAGGTAAGATAAAATCAAAGTGTTCTAAAAGTAAATCACAATACGTTTTACAGAATTAGAGATAATTGTGTTTTAGTGGTCAAACAACGTTGGTTATTCTGGTAGTAAAAGCATGGTAAAATGCAAATTAAAATAAGATTTCTCTCTTTTTTTTACCTGTCAGACTGATGAAGAAGAATTGATTCTAGTATTGACATCGGTATGGGGAAATCAGTCACTGAGATGATTAGCAGGACTGTAAATTGGTACAAATGAATCAGTGGGCAGTTCAACAGGATCTGTCAGACTTTAAGGTGCACCTCATACCCTCTGAAGCAGCAATCCTACTCTTCTATATTTATTCTGTTCTCTGTATTCTACTGAAGATTTAGCACAAACGCGTAAACATAAGAGTGCAAGATATTCCTTGCAGCATTGCTTGTAATAGCAACAACAAGCCTGCAAATCTGTCTATTAATAGAGGAATATGATGTAGCCATTAAAAAGTGCAGATGGGGGGGTGCCAAAAAAAACGTGCAGATCTGTATGTGATGATTTGGACAGATAATATGTATGTATAGTGTGATCCTACTTGCACTATAAATGTGTGCAGTAGTTAAATATGAGTGTGTATATATGTATAATACTTATGTTTGTTAGTATGGGGAGAGGAAAGCATTGTGTCTCAAAGTGTGATCTAAAGAGAGCCTGCATTAGGAAAAAACTGGCATGCATATATATATATATATATATATATTTTTTTTTTTTTTTTTAATGGAGATTCCTGGGCCTTGTGCTAATTTCCCTGAATCAGGATCACTGTAAATGAAGCATGGAAACCTGTATTTCTAACAGGTTCCTCAGTTGATGGCTTATACAAATGTAAAATATGGTCTAGTAGCTAACAGCAATGAATTGGATATCTGGTAGTGGATTGTAGTTAGAAAGGGCAAACTTCTTGAAGAGATCTTATATTTTAAATGAGGCCTACCTAAAATAAAGTCAGTTAATTAACATTATCAACAGAGACCTGTTAATGAAGGTGAATTGGCCTGACATAGAAAAATGATTCTACTGTACAGAAGTACACACCAATTAAATGAGCAAGCCTTTTAAAAAATCCTTGTTGGCCGGGCGCGGTGGCTCAAGCCTGTAATCCCAGCACTTTGGGAGGCCGAGGCAGGTGGATCACGAGGTCAAGAGATTGAGACCATCCTGGTCAACATGCTGAAACCCTCTCTCTACTAAAAATACAAAAAATTAGCTGGGCATGGTGGTGCGTGCCTGTAATCCCAGCTACTCAGGAGGCTGAGGCAGGAGAATTGCCTGAACCCAGGAGGCGGAGGTTGAGGTGAGCCGAGATCGCGCCATTGCACTCCACCCTGGGTAACATGAGTGAAACTCTGTCTCAAAAAGAAAAAAAAAATCCTTTTTGAACTTGCCAAATATCATCAGATTACCTGTTAATAAAGCACAATTAAATAATAGGACTTACTGTGATAAGAGAAAGTGCCACCTTGACTTGATTAACTGTGTGTCAGAACCAGAAAGTAAGATTATTTGTAGGGCTTTGGGATCTATGCGCAAATGGTTTAAGGTATGTCTGTCAAGGGAGGGAACTGATCGGGATTAGCAAAGCTGATAGTTCAGGATTAGTGGACACTGCAAGCAAGGGTCTTGAAGATTTCTGATATGTCAACTGTTGTTTGAGAAACAAGCTGTTTTCCCAGGTGAGCAGGGCTTCACCTGTAGAAATTGTCTTCAACCTGTAGGAATTTCCTCTATAAACAATAACCACAAAATATAAATTGTTTTTGTTTTTATTTGCTTTGTTTTATTTAGAATCTTATCTTTTTCGGGCGAAGATTTCTTGGAATAAACAACTAAATTATGTCGACATACATAAGCTACAGTCTTATCCAGGCCATAATGACGCTGATGGATTCAGTTTGCTTTCCTTATCTCCCTCTATTCAAAGATTATGTCAATATTATGTACATAGCAATTGACAAGTCATAAGTACTGCATGCTTACTGATTGTACCACTGGAGCTCCAACAATTGATGTATCTTTGGTGACTTCTTAGTGTTCTTCTCAAGTTTCTTGAGCTCTGTAACACTTGGTTCACACTTGTTAAGTGCTCTAATATAATCTGCATCACATTGTGCTGTGACTTATTTTTCTCATATCTGTCTCCCTGACTAGACCACAGCCCTGTGGGAATATAATATAACACCCAGAATGGTGAATAAAGATTTGTTTTACTAGATAGTATATAAATTGAATCCGGGAAATCAGTGGCAGCATAGGAGAGACTGTTGCTTCTCTTCCATTCAAGAGAAGTCTTTGAAACTCCTTTTATTCTCTAATATTCTTCGTGGAGATGAAGATGAAGGTTGTAAACCTTTAATTATTTTAACTGTGGCTGCATAAAAGTTTTTTGAGAAATATATTATGCATCATGTTTCTCTTTAGTTAGAGTATGAATGGTGTGGAGAATTTTCTGGGCTAATGTTTGACATTTATTATTCACTCCTATATATTTGTGGTGAATATGAATAGTATCTGGACTCATCAGAAAACACATAGGAAAGGCCTAACTTCAACACTGTGAATTCTCACTCCTTGTCTCACTTGCTTCCTTTTGTAGAAACCACAAGTGTATTTAACTTTTGTGTCCTAGATCCATTACTACCTACTGAAAGCCTATAGTGCATTTATCTTTAAGCGTTTACTCTCTTCATTTAGTCAACGTATTTCTACTTCTATATTGCTCGCTGTGCTGTGTAATTTTCTATGAATATTTTCGTTTCAGATCCCTTGAAATGAAACTGTCTTGAAAAGCATCACTTTTTATTCTCCTATTCTAATTCCCCTCTAGTTTCCCTTCTAGTTTAAGACTTTGTTTCAATATTTATTCTTTCCTTAAGCCTTTTAATTCATTTATATCCGCTAAGTTGAATTTGATGAGGCAGGACATGTTTGAAAGAAGGACAAACCAAACGAGAAAGCAAACCAATGAATTACACATACAATAGGAAATAATATACATTTCCCAATTCCCTGAGGGGTAAAATTGAGACTGGTTATACAAACAGTATTGCACAGCATGCTGATACTAGCTAGAAGTAGTCTACAGTGTTTTAACTTCACTCAAAGATGGTTCTGGAGGAGTGAGGAAATTAACTTTTTCTAGTGAGAATAAATTTGAGCAGTATTTCTAGTCTGCTTTGCACTGAAAGTGAGCCATCCCAAGATACAGATCTATACCATTTATACCTGGTAAGGTGGTTTGAAACACAGATGTAATAAGATTGGAGGATGAATGATACAATTTGGGAGCTAACCACATTGGACTTGTTAAACTAGGCTCACATGGCAAGAATAATTGTTTCCTACAAA